ACTCAAAATGCAGTCATGGTCATATTTACACAATAAAAACAGGAGTTCTAAAGAACAGTTATGCAGTTACCAAAATGAGCAAAAAGGGAGAGAAGGCACAAAATCTTAAATGCAAGTCTTGAAGGAAACAAGATTTCAGTGAATAAATAATAAAAACAAATTAAACACTTTATATCTGAAATCAGTGTTGCTCAGAGCTTGGCCACATTACTTTATCTCAAATCCCCTACTTATTATGACCACTGGCTGAGATATTCTGGGAGCTATTGTTTAAAAGAACCTTACAAATTTTCCAAGATCTGCAAGTAAAATGTATTTCGATGGGCTCCTCCTCCCATTGCACATTCTTATTAGAAACAGAAATGGAATTTGGGATTCCTGTTGATATGGTCTACATTTTCATATTGCACTCAGGGCTACTAATCCAGGGAGAAGGCCATCTCTCCACCACCCTGTGCTCTACAGAATCACAGCTGTTCCCTGCCATTTCTCTGGAGAGCCAAGCTTCTTGATCAAAGCTTGTCAGGCAAACTCTAAAGCAGCATTTCCCATTTCATGCCTCATTAGGCCTGTGGTCACCTCTCACCATGTATATACACTGTGCCACTCAGTCTTCCCCCTTTATGAGATGATGGATGACTCTTTCCATGCTTCCCTATAGACTTCTGACACTCACTAATGGCTGCTTTTTTTTGAGAGGAAGTCCCATTAAAGGAGAGGTAGATTGGAGTGACTAGGAAAAAGAAAATGGGTCTTTTGTAAATACAGAGAGCAGAACATTGAGGAACCTCACTGATGCCACTATGTCTAACTTTAGGCTTCAATGTTCCCTTACATCGGCCAAGTGAGGTCCTTTAGTGCTCCAGATAGACTCAACTGCTGCGTTCTGCTCATCACATTAATTACTTACAATACATCTGAAGCAGCATACGTTTGTTAATATCTATTTTTACTAAGCATTTTAAGGACATGGGGAGGGGGTAATTAATGTTTGACATTATCATGGCAATTAAAGAGGACACACAACTCACACAACTCCATGTGTGTGCACTTATATGTGTGTGAGTGTAGGTCCAGTGTCAGCAATGGGTTGTGTTGAGGTGGTGTGTCCACTGTAGTTATGCTCGACTCCCCTCTTCATAC